ACACACACACACACACATCATTAGAGAGCTCAGAGTCCTGGCTGCAGCACTTTTTACTCTCTCTTGTTCTGAGTTTCTTGTTTGGTTCTATAAAAACAGAGACTGACACACTGTACACTGTGCTGCTGATGCACTGAAGCCTCAGTATGCCACTGCCTCACTGCAGGAGAGCAGGTCAGCTTTACTCCTCTCATTTGCCCCTCCACAGCATGTAACAACACACACACACACACAGCTGGTGGCTGCAGAGACTCCACATGTAGAAGAATTCGATGTGAAAAAGCCGCTGCCACAGCTGGATGTCAAACCTTTAATACTTCATGAGTCTCGACTGATTTTTGTCCGTAGCTTCAAATAAAACCTCTCAAATACTGAAAAGTGACAGTGAAAGCTTCTTAAAGGGGTGGCTCACTCAAAAAGACATATTTATACCTCTTGTGGCATTTAGTAAATACTTTTATTTTGTATTCATTCGTGTGTGGAGAGTTTTTTCTCCCAGATAAAATAGAGGTAAACTTTAGATTTAGCTGATTGCGCCCACAGCGTTCTGAACAATAAACATAAAATACATTAATTAGTTAAAGAGCTCATTAAAGACTCTCATTGATCCAGAACACAGAATAAGCATAATATATTTTGCGGGGGCTTCTCGATCAATAGCAGTGACTCAGCCTGAACTCGGCTCAAGCTTTTACAAACTTTACTTTACTTACCTATTACATCATTTCATCATTACTCTTAAAGAGGAACTCTGCCCTAAAGCGTGTTTCCTGAGCTGCAAACTGAATTATATGACTGTACTGTGATAAAATATTTAAATTCTGCTCTTAAAATTGACATTAAGTTATGAAAATCTGCATTTTGTGGGTTACAAATGAGTCCACGGTTTCATTCTATAAAATAAACAGTGTTAACGTCCTTTTGTCAGAGGAGGGCTGCTGTTACGTGAATCATGCAAAGCTCTTCTAGAGGACTCTCAGACTGGGTCCTGTTTAAAGTCCCGATGAAACAGGAGCAGCAGCAGAGAGCTGTCTGCTTCCTGTATTTACATTTTCCTGTGAAAACAGGAAGCTAGATATTGATTGGCATTAACAGCAGCTAATAGCGCTAAGTATGTGTTTCATCTCCACCACTATGCAGCAAGCACTATGAGCTAGCATCCCCGTCTAGCTTCTGGGACCGAACACAAACCCTGAGCCCAAACGTTGCCAGTCCGACAGGGAGTCCAGTAGTGAGGTGGTTTTCTTGCCAGGTTTGGCTCCTGGCATCCCGGGGCTGAGTCAGTTAGCTTAGTTGCACGGCTGTCGCAAACTATTCTAAATCAAACTTCACAACTTTTCTGCTCCACTTTTCAGCAGCGCCGTCTAATTATGACCCAAGATAAATCCAAAAGTTATATTCACATAAAAATTCTTCACGTAGAGGGTTTAAATTAATCTTTGTTACTCATTACACACCCCCGACCACTGCTTCATTCCACCATTAATTTCCTTATTTCATCATAACATCTCATACTTTTTCAGTTTAATCACTGCAGTCATCATCGCAACATTCATGGGCTAGATTTACAATTAATTTCACTCCGTTTATAGTGTCTTATTTCCAACATGTGACACATTCGGTCATTCCTAATTCCTCAACTTGATTAATTTGGATGAGTTTTGAAAAGACTCACAGTGCTAGAATCCTCATTCATTACTTATTAATATCCGATAATGACACAGATTCAGATTCAGTAGAGAAGCTCTCAGAGAGTTTGGATTAGATTGTTTTATTTTCTGATCTCAGGTGAATCTTGTCCCTCAGATTCATGTGGTACATACAGATTCTCCTCCTGCTATACGGTTTATTATTATGTAAGTCTGCATCTGTCTGCAGGCTTTGTTAAAGGAGCTGTTGAAAGCCTTTCCTCAGGGGAGTTCCCTCCAAACTCAATTTCATGCTCAACGCAAATGAGTTCCCACATATTAAAGCACCCAGACTGAGGAGGGACGTCCCAGCGCCGGAGGTAGCCAAACATATCCAAACCAGGGAGATTTGATCTTATCACAGTAAATAAATTGAAAAAATTAGGTGCAAAGAAAATAAAAAGGGCGCCAGCTGTATGGTTTGGGATCCACACGCACTGATTTATGTCTCTATGTAGGGATGAGGGTCGAAGGATGTGGCGTTTATGCTCCCGAGTGCCTTCTCTCACGTTGAAAATGTCAACAATGAAGAATAAAAACTGAAATCTTGACACTCAGAAGATTACGGATGTGCAGCCGAGCAGTTCATAACAGGATCCAACAGAGTCAATAAGTCATTGTACTGTTGATCATCCTCACGGCGGTTTGGATTGATGGTGTTTGTGTATTTCATGTTGAAGCAGCGCTCTCACTGGGCCGTGATGTTGATTAGTTACCTGCTGGAAACCTGGTGCTGATATAAGATGCTCTCACACTGCACAGAAATGATGCAATAAATCATTTTCCAGCGGATGTTATTGGCAATATGCAGGAATGTTTGATCAAAGTCCCGAAGGCAGCAGGAGCCTGAATGTGTTTGTAAAAGCTTATTGTCCAGAGCAGCAGCGGAGGGAGGAAACCTCAACCTCACCTGGGAAACGCAGACCGGAGCGGCCAGCCGGAAAGAAAACCTACTGGTCCGGATGTAAAACTCTAAGCAACGAGGCAAAACAGCAGCAGCTGTCAAACTGTGCTGAGCAGATACGACCCAGACAGCACATGTACGTCGACCCGATGTTGACCCGATGTTTATCACCGAGACGTCGTGTGCAAAGCGTTTGCTAATTGGCAAAACTTTGCAGAGACACCGGCATTTGGTGATCAAAGCTGCTCTATAGCCTCTGCTACGACCTTTATTCATTAAGGTCAGATATTCAGACGGTATATTTAAACATCAATTCAGAGGAAACTTTGTGATTGACTACTAAAACATAGCGACCTGGACCTTTAATGTGGGTGGCATTAATATTAGTATGTCTGTCAGGGAAGTCTCACAGTTATGGGACAAATGCTACAGAAATACTTTATTTATTACTCTCGATAATGAACTCAATTAACATTTAATCAACAGGAAGTTTAATACATACAGCATTATATAGTCGGCCACTTTAAAGCCAATTTATGAATAATTATTATTTGCTAATAAGTAATATAACTTATTTGTACACTACAAGTACAATTAAATAGCTCTGCAGGCATCAAGAAAGAAATGGCTGCATCAAAACAGTTTAAAGCTTTAAGGTCACGAAGGCAGCAGGAGCGTGAATGTATTTGTAAAGCTTATTGTCCAGAGCAGCAGCGGAGGGAAGGAACCTCAACCTCACCTGGGAGACGCAGCCAGCTGGAAAGAAAACCTACTGGTTCGGATATAAAACTCAGAGGCAACGAGGCAAAACAGCAGCAGCTGTGAAACTGTGCTGAGCAGCTGAGATGATACAAGCTGATAAGTGCCACCACTCACAGCTCACAGCCTCCCGGCACTGAGGGGGATGATCTGGGAGTTTAAAGCCACAATGAACAGAAGAAAAAACACTTTTTATGAGATAATGTCCTACCGTGCAGCTGCTGCTTCACAGCAAATGCCAGAAACCTTGTAGATTGTGTTCATAAAAACCCTGTTAGTTCCCTGTTGACCTCATCCTGTGGTACACTCTTCTTCCTCAAGAGAGTCCTTTTCTAAACAGACAAAGTGGCAGATTTTAATGATATATCCCACTGCCTGAAATGAGTACACTTCAGATTTTTGTCCACATGAGCACCCTTACTTCTTATTGAGTTATGTTGTTATATTCAACAGTATTAATAACAGGAGAGAACAGCTGATAAACTGATTAATGAACCCAAACAGTGAACCCAATAAATGCAGGGAGTTTGTTTAAAACCCGAGATTTGGATAAATTCTGAGCAGATTATTTCCCGTGAATATTGATCAGAGATGAGTTTTGCTAATATCTTTAGGAACTTTTTATTCAATTCTGTGTCTTTGTTATGTATTTTTATTTATTATTTTATTATATTTTATTGTTATTATTAATAAGGTTCTTTTTTTTGACAAATTCAGTGTTTTCTCCTCCCTCACGCATAGCTGTTGTTCTATTATCACTTAAACTTTAAAAAATAACAAACACAATTTTATTATGTTTTTTTGGCCAGATGGAGTCAAAATAAACTGCTTAACTAAAAACCAGTAACATATTATATATACATAGGAAGAAGATATATGAGGATCTGACACATTAGTGAGTAGATTCATTCACTGTTGTACTAACTGAAGGTCAGTAGTCTATTAAAAACATTGGTTTACCTTTAATGTCCCTCCTCCCTCCATGTTTTAATTCCCTCTGTACGCTCAGCGACCTGAGAATGTATTAACAGGCCGGACATTAATCACACTGACGTTATTCATATTCATCCTGCTCTCTGCTGGAACGCTGCCCCGGTTAAGATTAATTCAGAAGGCTGAAGGAAACAGTAGAGAGTGGACAGACTTTCAAACACGACTGCAGCAGAGGATCCTGATTGTTTGCTTGTTTTTCTGTTTGCAGGATGAGAAGAACCAGGTGCTGACCACCAACATCTGGCTGCAGCTGGTGAGTCTTGAGTTGAAGAAGCATCAGAACTCTCGCCCCTAAAACCAGTTCCTTTATTCCCTTAGAGATTAAAGTTTCAGTTTGATCTACATTCAGACGGAGGAAGCTCTTCGTCTTTGCTTTTGTTCTTATCCGTCTTCTCGTTTCTTCAGCTAAAAAACTTAAACTTTTATCTGTGAACATCCTGAAGCAGCTAGCAGAGGGCAGTCAGGACACTGCAGGTACCTTTGTTTTCAGGAAGTGCATTTCCATATTCATTGTTTCCTGTCGGAGGTTAAAAGGAACTTTGGTAGCACTTATGCCATATTGCTTTGTCATGTCATGATGCTGTGATGCTGATCGGACCCCAGAACATTCTGCTTAATACATCCATGAACCTTCACTCTGTATCACTAAAAGTTAAAAAGATTAATTGACGGGTGAATGAGAAAGACAAAATATTGGATTTAGATTTGTCGCACTGTTCTCCTGGACTGCAGTGCAAATGAAACCCGTTACAGATGGCTCTATTTGTGCCGTTCAGGCCGCCGGGGACGGTGTGTAAACTGACTCTGGGGGGAAAGAAACCAAGTAAACATTGATAATAAATGGAAGCCTGCAGCCACATCATCCCATCCTTCCTTCAGTTCGGCTTCCAGAGAGACTCTGGAGGAATCGCACAACTCCAGCTCTGCTACTTGACCCAGATAAGTTTGCTGTGATGGAGAAAAGCTGGATCCAGCAGGCAGCGATCAGAGCGGCAACTTCTTTTTCTGTTTCCACAAATACTTCATCTGCCGCTCTGCTGCTCGCTCCGTCAGAGTCGTCGGCTCGACACCTCCTGCACTTCGCCGCTTTTACGCCTCACTGATATCAACTCCTGCTCCGTCTTTGTTCATTTTAACTTCGTCTCAGACTGTGAAAGGCTGCTTCTCTTCACCTTTTGTCAGGCAGGACTGATTGTGGTGTGAATGTCAGAGCTAATGGAGAGCGTAGGAATTCATTAAGAGAGCCTCCTAAACCCATTTCATGCAGCTGTCCAAATTTAATTAGGTTTCATATCGGGTCCTGTGGAATGTGTGTTTGTAAAGTGGTGATGCACTAATCCAACCTAATCTGCTCCTCTCAGATGGAAAGGTTAGTTCTTCCCCGGAGCCTCTGCATTTCCTCTCCACAGCACCCTCCCAGGACCAACTAGTCTTTTAGCTTAATTTAATTTGGCGTTCGCCTCTCCTCCACCTCCTCCTCCTCCGCCGCTGCTGCTGGAGTCATTGTGTTTTTGTGAAGGGGATGAATGTCTGTAAGCAAAAGGAAACATTGCTGCACCGGGAGCTGTGTGGGTTTTTAATGTCAGAGTGTTATTGCAGCTTTTGGAAGTTTTTCTCCTCGCAAACTAGAAAACTTTGACTCAGAGAATAAAAACAGAATCAATGTCGACATTTTGGAGCAGATTTCTACCTTAAGGGGCTCATGAGGAGCTTGTTTTTATAATGTTTAAATTGTTTCGTTGCATATTCTTTTTATTTACAAGCTGTTGATGCCCAGACTCACAAACATGAGACACAGTATTTTAATAATTCATAATAGATTTAACAAGGTCATCCCAACAGGAGGTCCATATATGGTGACCATATTTTCAAACCTCCAAACTGAAAATCTTAATTGTAAGGCACTCAGTGTACGTGCACCATGTCTGTTTTAATGAAGATGGGGGACAATTAAAGACACTAGCATGGTGACACTCAACATACAAAACATAATTCAATCCCAATATTTTTTTTAGTTAGTTAGTTTTTTTTTTCAGACACAGAAACTAATTTTCAAAATAAAATAACCAACATCAGGTCGGCCAGATGCTCTGAAGACGCTCTCAGTGGGATTTGAAGATATACGGCACACGGAGCCAAACCGTGTCGCAGAAGCGATCCCGACAGTATTTCGAGATAACTGATAGCATGACAGCTAACTGTTAGCATTCTGTCAGAAAGGAAGAGCCTATACTTAGCAACAGCCTTGACAACGACACACTGATTGATTGACACACATTCAAAGTTGGGTTAGGTAATAACAAGTGGGACAGAACAAGAAAAAGAAATAATCCTGTTTCCATTCTTTAGTTATTAGTCGGATGGCAACACACACATTTGTCTGGCATTACCTTTAATATTACCAAAGTCATTCAAACTTTACATTTTTAAAAAGGTGACAGCACTGGTAGGTAGAACTGCTTCACACCACTGTTGTCACACCAACAGTTTTAGCTCCTACAGCGTCTCTGAGAAGCCAAATTCTTACCATGTTTAGTCTTGTTAAAAAAGAAGATTTTAAAATCCCTCAGAGATCCAAAAATAACCGATAACTCTGTAAGGATAATCCTTTTAGAAAATACAGGCCGAAAAATTAATGTACCACAGCTCAGAATGGATCTAATGATGCAGTTTGATCTAAAAGCGTCTCCACTCTGAACTATTTAAATAATCTGTTTAACAGCACTGCTGATGATGGACCAGTTTGTGAACTACTGAGATGTCTTGAATTTGTTTTTAGTATTTTTCTTCCTCTTTGAATCTTTTTCAACGTCACCTTATTGCATCAGTTTCCTTTATAGTGTGCATCTTTCTGATTCTTTGAACCTTTTAGACGAGGGAGTGCAGAGATCCTCACCTGTTCATTAAAAATGCATAAATGCTTGTTAGGAGACTTTTCATCTTGCTCCTGATATATGGATTACTTCTCTTTGTGTTTTAACTGGAAAGTTATGATGCAACATCATGCTGTATGGAAGAAGACTGAAACTAGAGACTGAGACCAGAACTCCATCAGGAAACTGTTTACGAGGGAATAATCAATCTGAGAAGTCAACTCATTTCTCCTATAAGACTCAATTGGTATCAGTTTATATTGCCAGGCCCAAATGGAGCTGCCCCCTACTTGCCTTTAACATAGAATGCAGTTTTAAGACCATTAAACAGATGCAGAAGCTCTGTCCATTATATAAACTGTCAGTGTCAATGACGGCAGTGTAACAGTGCACCATCATTGTCTGTGGCAGGTTCTTCCTCAAAGCTGGTGACAAAGATGAAAGTGATACTACTGAATTAAAATAAAAAATATATTTTATGGCTCTTTATCTCACTTTAAAGATTGTGAGAAACTTGAAACATCACACTCACTTTAGAAAACATTTCCTAGACGTTTGAAAGTCATCAGATGTGTTTGGCTGTTCTAACGTAAACTTCAGAGTCTCCTCTTGTGACTTTTTTTTTGGGGGGGGGGGGTATCTCTGCAGCCGCTGCGAACTGCTTTCAACAGATTCC